AAATACACAAACATACACATATATACAAAAATACTTGGTACCAATGCATATCATGAAGTCTAGACACCATCAGCTTGCTTTTAGGCGCTCCAGGAAGAAGGAACCACCGACAGCCTTACCAGAGATATTGTGTTTTAACATGTACTATTAATCGGACTACTTCTAACTGCTTTCGCTTCTCACTGGTAATAAATACGAGGGAGCTTTTAATTTCTGATTTAACTAAACAAAGATTTTTTGTTTTCTTTCTTTTTTTTTTTGTTTATCGCCATTTTTTGACGCCACACAACAAGTTTTTGCTAATTATTTCCTTCACTTACCTCCACGACTTGATCCTCGCTTGCTGGCCAAACAACAATATCCGGAATGCGTCCCACAATGCCACCTCGAAGTTTTACAATATCGTGCACTAAAAAGAACACAATAAAAGGTAATTAATTTTGGAAATTACTAAAACTCGGCTCGGCTTATTCGTCACTGAGAAACGCCCTGAGTTCATTGGAAAAACTATTTTGCGGTATCATTTGCCGGCACTGCTTGACACTTCACCAATAAGCGTCGGGTAGCGGCAAAAAAACTTTTCGTAAATCGTGTACTGTGCCGAGTGGGGCCAAAATTTAGTAATCGCTCCCACACCTCAATCTCTCTCTTCATGCTTCGAGTTCCAGCGCTGCCCCATTCAGCTCGCAAAAACTGCTTTGTTAAATAAGATAATAGGAAGAAAAACGGGAAGAAATACGTACAAATGTGCGGTCAGACGTTTTTTTGCCTAATTTTTTCTTATTGAAATTCTCTACCTGTATGTCCATGCGAACGAGCCAATCGGTATTTTGATTTGTTTGAGAAAGAAATTCCTTTTTCCAGCAGAAAATCGATGAACTGTTGATTATCAACGGACGCCGGCACTGATACCTCTTCGTAGAGAACACTTGGTGTACGATAATCCACATCAATTCCAAGAGTTTCGCACATATACTGTTTGAGAAACGGTAAACGTCGGCCCGAAATTTCGTACCTAAAATGC